TGAGAAGCTGTCAGTCTTGCTACAGAAAGCGAAACGTTCAAATAAAGTCATCATGGTAGGCGATTTTAACGCTCAAATTGGGAAGGTGAGCCGTACTGGTCGTAGGAAACAGGTGATAATAAGGCTTCTCTATGACCAATTGGAAGACGAGAATGTCGAGTCGGTGTTTAGTGAAGAGGTGGCCAAGAATTTATCCGAACGTGACGCCGATGCTCATCCTGAGGAAACGTGGCGTAATATTAAGTCTGCTGTAAAAACAGCAGCAAAGACGATTGGTAACGTACACCCATAGGTTAGCAAATGTCAGTGGATTTCCGCAACGTCATCCGAAGTGATTGATGCTAGAAGACTGGTTTCGGCTGCCTCTGAACACCATGAAGAAGAAATGCAACTTACATGTAGGTTGACCAAGAGTTTTCACCTCAAGCAGTGATGGGTCGCAGAAGCGAGAGAGATCGAGAAGGCATCAGTGGTGGGCAACACTCAGCAACTAATTAGGCTTATTAAGGACACCCGCAAGAAGAAGACGATGGTGAGTGAAACCATCACTGGAAATAATGAGATGCTGATAACCTCCCAGGACAGGCAGCTAGAACGTTGAGCAGAATACTTTGAAGCACAGTTCAACTGGCCCTCAGCAACGTTTCTACTGCTCAACGTCCGGTCTGGACGTGTCTGTCATCTAACTGTCCTTAAAGTTGAGAAGGCTGTTTCGAATTCAAACGACGTGAAGCAGCAGGACCTAACAGTTTGCCACCTGAAGTTTCCTAGAATGGAGGGGAGAAATTGGTGCCTAAAGTGACGAAGGAACTAGGTAGTGTTTGGAAATCAGATGTATCGCTGATAGACCTGTCTACTTCTCTAACCAACCCAGTGTATAAGAAGGAAGAGAAATCTTGCGACAACTATAGGGGAATTAGTTTGACTAATATTGTGTCCAAGATCCCTGGGTTTATAGTTATCCGACGCCTAACTGGAGCTCGAGTACAACAAACTCACGAAAACCAGTCCAGTTCCAGACATGAACGAAGGGGAGTCGATCATATTTCCATCCTCTGACAGGTTCTCCAAGACAGGCATAGTTACCGACCAATGGTCGACACTTGCCACATTGCTTGACTTGAAGGCCGCATCGGACTCTGTCGACCATGAGGTATTGTGACACTGTCTGATTGTGAAGGGAGCACCGAGAAAGTATATAACACTTATTAAAGGCCACTCCTTATGCTCACGTAGCCTTGTTAGCGCTTATGAAGAGTCGTCATCGTAATTAAGGACAACTAGTGAAGCCCCACAGCGACGCCCAATGCTACCGTTCCTATTTAACTTCATTGTAGGTGTATTAGCAGACATAACCTTGGGTACATTTGACTTCACAGATATTGACCTAACCCTTTGGGGTAATTTAATCCACTTTGAGTATGCAGACGGTATTGTACAGCTAGGTTAAGACGCTGACACAATACAGGGTCCTTTAGACGCGTTGAGCATGAGTTTCGTAGTTGTCAAGTGTAAGATGCTTTAGGAGTGGTCTGCACCTATTCCCTGTCTAATGCTAGTGAGTGAAGTGGTGAAATGAGTCGATCACTTCACTTAAGTTGTTGCGTCAGCGTAAGCGGTCTGGTTGTCGACAGAATCTTAGCTGGGATACACATGAACTGTTTGCCATTTGCCCATTTGCGTCACCTGTGATCCCGGTGTGATAACCGTCTATCTATCAACGGACGACTATACTCCACTGCAGTCCATCCAATTCTTGTGTATGGCTGTGAGATACGGTCGTTACAAATAGAAGATGTGGAACGATTTATTAATATTTCTCTCTTGGGTTCCTAATGGGACATAGGGCTTCAGTAGCACATCTCCAATGCGCTCTGTTCTCTGAAATCTTTTGAACCTAGCTCCACGATAGCCCACAAGCTCTCATTTCCTCCTCGCACGATCTCCTCCATGTCACCCTCTGACTCCCAACTCGTCGTTGTTGGAACTGCTTTTCGTGACACGCCAAGTCTCTGAACCATATAGCAGCACTGACTTGACTGGATTGGTGTTGAAAATCCGGATCTTGTTGTTTGTGCTGAGTGCAGAAATTCTCCACACTGGTTACAGGTTAATTAACGCCTGTCTTGCTGTCTTTTCGATCGTGGCTGGCTTTGACATCCTCGTCAGTGCCGCCTGTAGTTGAAATGAAACAGTGCTTCCTAGATAGGTGAAGGAGGCTAGTTCCTTTAAGTTTCTCCCGTTGATGGTGATTGGAGTTTGTTGTCGTTGTTGGTGGTGGTGTTGTCGGTTGGGTATCTTCGTCACCTCTGTCTCCTCTACATTCACTTGAAGTCCCGTCTTCGCTGCCTCGCCTTTTCTGTCAACTTGTTAGTTTTCGTCTGTAGATCTTCCAGTTTGTGTGACATTAGACACAAGTCATCGGCGAAATCCAAATCTTCTAGGATCTTTTCCCAGTCCAGCGTATGCCCCTGTTCTCTCTCCCCACGGTTTGTTGCATGATGGAGTCCGGATTCACCACAATCAGGAATATCATGGGTGATAGTAGGCAGCAGCTTTGTCCTACTCCTGTCTTAACTTCACTTCAAAGGCGTCACTGAGCCTTCCATTGTGAATCACTTGGCATGTGGCATCTTCATATAGTTGTTGAATGAGGCGGATAAAGGTTTGTGGTATTCCGTAGTGTTGAAGCAACTGTCTGTGAAATTACTTCTCGGTCGACGCTGTTGAAGGCCTTTTCAAAGACGATGAAGTTGAGGCAGAGAGTTGACTGCCACTCTATACTCTGTTCTATGATGATGCGTAGCGTAACATTGCAATTTGATCCACACATGATTTGTACTTCCTGAATCCTGCCTGTTCGGGTGGTAGTTTTGAATCCAGTGCATCCTTTAGTGTCTCCAAGATGATGCGGCCTAATATTTTGCTTGCTCTGGGTGGACATGGACAGGAGCGTGATTCCGTGCCAGTTCTTGCAAATACTCAGGTCTCCCTTCTTCGGGAGTTGAACAGGGTAACCCTTGATCCAATCGCCAGGTACCTTTCCTTCCTTCCAGACCTTGTGCAATAGTGGTGTGAGCATGTCCTCCACTTTTGTCCCAGCGTCTGTTCTCAGTGCTTGTGGTGGGATTCAGTCTGGTCCTGCTGCTTTCCCGCATTTCAGTAGCTTTATAGCGTTCTGGACTTCTACCTTTGTTGGAGGGTTTGTGTTCACTGATAGTTCTGTGGTTGGGCTGTTCGTAGTATTTCTGGACGAAGGGCAGGTGTTGGTCGATTCAAGAACTTTTTGAAGTGGTCAGCCCATCGTTTTCTTTGTTTCTCCTCTTTCGTAATTAAATTTCCGTCATCATCTTTTATTGGTTTCGTCTGCGTTGATCTCTTCCCAGATGGTAACCTGGTTATTTGATACAATGTGGTTTGGTCTCTCCTACGAGCAGCCTGTTCTGCTTCACTTGCCAGTGTTTCGTAGAAGTGTCTTTTGTCTTTCCGTGCACTCTTCACTTCTTTGTCCAGTGTTTTATACGTTGTACTCAGTTCCTCTTGTCGTTGTGCATCCTTGCACAGGTTTATCTACTGCTTCACCATCCTCTTCTCCCTCTCCTATCAACTTCCATGTATCCATCGAGATGCGTTCCTTATCTTCTTTCTCCTTCCTGCCTAATACGGTTATGCAGGTTTCTTTCCACATTGCTTTCAAAGACTTCCAGTGTTCTTACACACAGGTTTCTTCAGAGATGTTGATATCTCCCATTTTGTTTTGATAGCTGACGTGAAACTAGTACTGGGTCTCCGCAGCATCACTCGCGTTTCATGTAATCATCGTGTAAGCGGTGTTAAGGTTAGGTAATAGGTACTAGCCAGGTCGATTGATGAAGTTGTAAACTTTTATCGGCTGAAATTACCTGGACATCTGATGCGCCTGCCGATCCACTACCTTCTTTGACATGCAATGCTGGGTGAAGTTTGATTAGGTTCGAAGAGGGTTTTGGGTGGCCAGACCAAGACCTGGTACCAGTCTATGAAGTCTGTGACTGTTGGTCTCAGTTCTGTGGAGAGAGCTAAACTGCTTAGGTGGTGTCATCGAGGCGAAAGGAATCAGCGGTTGAGGACTCTTGATGCCAAGGCTGAAAATTGGTCAAAGTGACGCAGATGCATACACTCCCTCACGTTTCACAAAGCTCGAGTATTTTCGCTATCATTTATCACACTACTGTGTCTACTTTGATATCACTTTTTCTGTCCACCTGTTTTTGTATACTACTGTGAGTTATGTCAACTTGAGCCGATGCATTTGTGTGAGAGGTTGTACGTTGATTTTTTCTATCACTCAGATGCAGTTAGATTAAAGGTGCCATATTCTCATGAAACATTCTGTTATCCTTCATTCAACAGAAAATCGATCGCGTGAAATAAAGATGGCATCAGTAACAGAAAGCAAAGTTTTATTTCTCGAAACATTTTTAGGCTACTTAATGGAATTTTGGGTCAGTTAGTCAATATGTCAAACAAATTCCCTAATTCACCTATAGTTATACGAAAGCTGTGATCACGAAAAATGGCGTAAATTTTCCTGTAGCATGTGATGAATACTGGCGACTTTTTAGATAGATTTTGCCCAGGAGATTTGCCGAAGTCTGATATTGCAACATCCTCAGCCAATTATTGAGGAAGCACCGGAATCACCATATAGGTTTCATAAATAGCGAGATTAAGAAGTCACTTCATATTATCTACACAGTTCAACCGGTTATTCATTATTTTGGTTTTTAAATTAACCAAGGGATGAAAAATAAACTAAGTTTGTTGTTAATGATGTTTCAGTATTTGGTGCTAAGTCTCTGTCAAAGACATAGTTAACCAGAGTTTAAAATATCCAAGCTTATATATTGTTGCTGTCTCCTGTTCCTCCCAGGTTATTTTCAGGGGATGAATGATTTACTTGCCCTAATTCTCTATGTCGTAAAAGAAGAAGAAGACTCGTTTTGGTGTTTTGTCGTTTGATGAATCGACTTGTAAGTTATTTTACAATATCGGACTTAATTTATCATTAATTTGTACATAATTATCTTTGTACTTTTGTCTTTTCTATTATATTTTCAAGGCCTTTTTAAAGATAATTGAGACTGCTTAGTAATCAGCAAAGTTTCCTTTCTGTCACTCATTCAGTTTCAATGAAAGGTTGTCTTTTATTTAGAGTCTGCCTTTATTCTCTTGCATTGGATTTTTTCTAATCTTTAAACTACTGTCTGATAAATGAATCATTAATTCACTTTAAGTTCACTTCATACACATTTTCGGTTTGCGTTATTCGGTAAAACATAAAGCGTTTAGGGAAACCGTAATAATTCAGTTATATATTGACTGAAAAATTGTCCAATCAATATTTTTATGCCGATCATTATAGTGACTGTTTCTGTGGCCGTTCCGTTCCTAATAAAATAAATGCTGTGGTTTATTAAGATTGGTTGCTGATATTGTTCAGCATCTGAATCTGCCTTTTAACTTGATATGGTATGATATGGTATCTTGGATTCTTGAGTACTAATACCATGTCTTATACTGATACCGACTGGCTGTAGTGGTTTGTTCATATATATATATATATATATGACACTGCTGGTCATCCACGGCAAACACCTTACTGCTGTGATACACCGTCCAGCCATCATAACATATCAGTTAACACTATAAAGATAACTGCTTTTGATTTGCCACTATGCAGTAGATCTTTGTGGTGTGGTATGACGTCGAAAGAACAAGCGTTGCAGCAGCGTAGCTCGACAAGTCATTCTGATATGTAAACCCGACCCCTACGTCTAGTTCAATCTAATTAGGTATTACGTACAGCCATCATATTACTTTTGTTACTCCTCTCCTACTGCCCGGACGCTCACAAGTTTGTTTACTATATTTCTATTCATAGTCTTCATCGAGCTGTGGGCAAGTTATTTTTTGTTATTGGGGTTGGATGTGAACGATACAGATTGCTTTGTATGGGGATATGGAACGACGCCCTAAAACTATTTTTGGTGTAGAAGGTTTTTGAATAGCTATGAACTAAAATTAGCTGCTCCAGAAAAAGTTTTAAGATGCTAGGCTGGTGTAGACAGACAATCAGTCTTTCTATCAGATTCAAAACGGGCTTTTCCCAAATCTAACTTGCATAGTGAAAGCAATGGTTCAACCACTTAGTATGTAGATGCAGTCCGTTGAGGTGAAAGTTGGCATCATACTAAACGAATAGACAATGTCTCCTTCAACTTTGTACATTAACTGTCTTTCTCTTCAACTGTTTAGTCCACAGGCTTTTATTGGAAGTCCAACTAATTATTCAGTTTTTTTATTTCACTTTTGCTGAAGGAATCTAATTTTGACGGAGAGCTAAACGCCGTAAGAGAACAGTTTAATCAGCTATTTTCTCTCATTGAAATTTTCGATCCAGCTTTCAGCGAGTATCTTGGTAGGTAGGCTTATTGTTCTTTTTGCTACTGCCATTTTATTAATAAAATAATAATAGTAATCTTCGTTATTTTGCTTTTTCTACAGCACTGTTTCGTAATTTAGGACAGCCTGTTTACATACATTAAAATTCATCATATCTAGACTTAAGTTCACACACATACTAGTGCGAATGGAGTTGTGGTCGATTGGCCCAAGTAGTCTGTCTTCAACTAGTGGATTATTAATTCAAACCCTACTCAGACAAATAAATAGATGGAGATAAAAAATAAACGTTGAACCTCGCACACAGGTCCAGTCCTTCAGTTTGCCAAACTTCCTAGTAGTATCCGAAGAACAAGTGGATAGATAAGCGTGTAAGAGAATCAAAAAATGTTAAGTTAAATGTTAGCGCAAATATCCGAGCTTTACAAGGCGCCAGGGAGTGAATACGTATGCGTCATCGCGACCTATTTGCAGCCATGTTACTAAGATCCACCAACCACTTATTCTTATTGTTTTGGGGGCCCCAACTAGGCAGTCTAGATCCCCCCACACGGTTGAGACCAACATTAAGAGACTTTACCGACTTATACCAGGTCTTGGTCTGGGCACCCTGAACTCTCTTCCAACCCAATCCAACTTCCCCTAGCATGGCACGTCGAGGTAGGCAGTGGCTTGGCCTTTGCAACATATGTTTAGGTCATCTCAGTCGTTGATGGTTCGCAACCTCATCAATCAACTTGTCTTTCTTGCCTAGAACCCTTCACCTTACCTCATTATTACTAACTGGATGATTCCATTAAACATGGGCAACGATGCGAAGACAACTGTGATTAAAACCCGGTAATCGCTTCACATCTTTTAACGGCTATCTCACAGCCGTACAACAGGACAGAACGAACTGAAGCACATTATAATGGTCAATTTTCGGATATCTCGTCGCCGAAATGACGCAAGTTTGCAAATGCCAACCGGGCTTTTTGTATCCGAAATGAGACTTCATTGTCATCAGCCATCCCGTTTAGGCGGATGCAAATCCCTTAGTAGGTGAAGTAGTCGGTACATTCCACCACTTCACTAATTGTCCTTGGAAGAATATCCTACTAATAAACACTGGGTCTCTGCGAACTCCCTGCAACTTCTTGATGCCCATCGGACCATTCGGGTTGATAACGAGATTACACAAGGATACGTAAGATTACGCAGGGACCGTAAGGTTTGGAAGTCAGAATGCGCTGATGAGATGGAAGCAGTGGCTGCATCTCGCAATAATCGGGAGCCGTCCCAACTCGTCCGAGCCACTGGCAATAAGAAGCCGGGTGTCTGTGAGATGGTCTGTGAGGTAGATGGTACCCAGATAAACAATCTTCAAAGACGCCTGGAACGCTGGATAGAGCACTTTGAAATATGGTTTAACTGGCCCTTGGCTCCAGCATTGTCATCTTCGGTGTATCATGCTCCATAGTCAGTTAACATTAACTCATCTAACGAAGCGGACGTTCATAAGGAACTCCAAGTTTCGAAACGCCACAAAGCACCCGGTCCAAACAACTTACCCTTGACTCCTATTAAGGATGGAGGAATGACTCTAGTCAGGGGACTCTGACTAGACTATTTGAGAAAATATGGCAGATTGAGAGTGTTCCATCACTCTGGAATGAAGCCATTTTTATGCCCATCTTTACAAAAAATTATTTAATGTATGTGACGATGATCGGAGTATTAGTCTGTTACTAGTCGCGTCGAAAATATTGGCTGCTATCATACTTCTTAAACTTTTCAAAACACGTGAAGAAGTTATTCGCGAGGAGCAGGCCGGTTTTCGTTCTGGTCATGGGTGCGTTGATCATGTGTTTACCCTCCGCCAGGTGCTTGAACATCACCACACGCATCACAGACCAAAAATCGTGTTTTTTGAAACCAGGGCTGCCTTCGATTCGTTGGACAGAGCTATGCTCTGGAACTGTCTGTTGGAGAGGGGCGTGACTGAGACATTTATTAACATCTTAAAAACCTTATCTAGTAGCAGCATACAACCACCCGTCTTTGTTGTTCCAAACCAGCAGTGGGGTTAAATAGGGTTGTCCGATTTCTGTCCTCCTCTTTGACTTTGCCATGGATGACATTCTTGAGACAGCTCTGAAGGAAATGCAACATGGTGGTGTAGATCTACTATCCGGAGAATGGCTATTCAACCTTGAACATGCTGATGGTATCGTCTTAGTGTGTAACAACACACAGGCTACTCAAATCGCACCTAATCAGTTGGCAATTAGTGTCCTTAGGTATGGTATGTGCTATGCACCATCGACGTACAAAGTACTTTAGCAAGATTGGCAGTTACCTGCACCTGCACTCATCCCCGGTGATGAGCCGTTAGAAGTAGTCGAAAAGTTCGTGTATCTGGGTAGTTGTGAGATTGCTGGTAGAGATGTGAGTGATGAATTTCTCAACCACACATCGAAAACCAGAGTGGCATACTCCAATCTGAGCCACCCTTGGCGCCGTTGCGACGTCAGTCTCGCCGTCAAAGGTCGGGTTTACAATGCTTCTGTGCCAGCAGTTCTGCTCTACACTTTTGAAAGCTGGCCTCTCCGAGCTGTAACGACTCTGTGTGTTCGATCATCGTTATCTCTGTAGGATTACTTGTAACCGTTGGCAACACTATGTAAGTAATTCTGAGCTACGACAGCGTGTGTTCGGGCCTGTTGGAGATCGTCATTCAAATAATGAAGTCGTCTGGACACACCGGCTTCGATGGCCTGGATACATATTACACATGTCATCCCAACGGCTTCCACACAGTTCGTTGTCTGCTAACCCTGGGACTGGACGGAAGGGTGGTCAGTGGCGCCGTGGGACGAAGGATAACTGTATCGGGTTAGCATCTGTTAATTCATCACGACTATCTGGGTTGAGGTCCGAGAAATCACACAACTCAGTGGCTTGGGACGTTATCAGATACGGTTCGAAAATTAAAACCAGTGGTGGTCATGCCGTAGCTTCCTTCTATCTTCTGCTGCTGAAAAGTAACTAAGGTTTTGTTTGGGAAGTATCTTACTGGACTACCCTTCTAATCATCCTATTCTTATTGTGTGTTCTTTCATCCTCTTCGCTTCGCTTTATTTCAAAATAATGTTATATTATTTTGTGTAGTGCATTACTTGATACCCTCGCTCCACCATGTTTGTGTTCCGATAAATAAATAACTAGTTCACAAACTGAGATTGGTTTCAGGCCACACCTGGAGCATCATCTTACATTTGGCAGGCATAATATATATATATATATATATATATATATATATATATATATATATATATATATATATATATATAAGTATTATGAGACAAAAGCGGTTATCCTCAGCAGAGTGTTTATCCGAAATCTGAGGGCAAGCTGTCACAGTGAACATATGTGATGAAGAGCACTAGCTATAATCGTCTCATTTGAAAACTTATGTCGTACCACATGTCCGTTTGCATTCTACTGGAAGTTTTCCAGTGCAGCCACACTCATTTGCAGGTTTCGTTTGATGGACCGATTTACACCTCCAAAATAAAGAGTATGACTAGTTTCAATTATCGATCAGTGTGTCTGTTTTCTGCCAAATGGTGGTAAATTAAAGCCCGATCGATACGAACGGTCCAAAGGTCACTCTAGGAAATACAGTTAGGGAAGTCTGAATAATTAGTTGTAACCTTTGCTTTTGTCAGCTTATTCGCAGGGTCTGCATCTTTGGCCTTAGGTTGTTGACCTCCAGGTGATGTGTCCATGTTTTGAATCCCACTCTGCTTACTTTTTCTTGATCCACCGGGTAGTATAATAAGCCGTCACACACTAAATTAAGTTTATTGACCATTAAGTAAGCCTATACTAAGTTTCTTTATTGCAGTGATTTTGTAGCTAGCATTTATACTTGAAAAACGTTTTGTTTAAAAGTACCTGGTATATTATTGATCATTTAGATAAACAGGTATCGTTGCTAGTGTTACCTTTAAAACCATTTTAAACTAACTATTTTTTTTCTAACTTCTTTTCTATATCATTTACTTGCTTTCCTATAAATTACGCAAATCGCCTGTATAGAAATGAAGAGCGCCAAAGAAATGCCGTTTTGTTTCCGTTGGCTATTAATTCAGTTTAAACGAGAATTCTCTTACAAGGATACCATGACTTTATGGGAGGTATGTTCGAAATTATTATTTTTTAAATATTGCTAGAAGCTTATATGGATGCACATTGTTTTTGACAAGGAACATAATAAGTTACTAATTCTGATTATTTTTTATTATTATTATCATTATTATTTGTCCCTTGGGTTCCTAGTGGAACATAGGACTTCAGTAGCACGTCGCCATCTCACTCCCTTCTCCGCAGTCTCATCAATCTGGCTCCACGACTACCAACAACCCTTCATTTCTTCCTCGCACGATCTCCTCCATGTCACCCTCACCTCAGACGCCCAACTCGTCGTTTCCCCTTTGGGTTCCACTCGAGGGCCTGGCCTGACGTGTGATGTCCCTGAATGGTATTCTCTCAGTGTATGTCCAATCCAATACATCTTCACTTTCTTCTGCATATTTGTTGGGTGATAGGTTCTTGTTTGGTTTGTTGCCAGCCGGAGTGAGTTCTAATTATTCTGACCACCTGATCTTCAGTGTCAGTATCGAGTGAGCGTAGGCGGAATCTGTTGATGATGTATGTCTGTAGTTTGTTGGAACTGCTTTTCGTTACACGCCAAGTCTCTGAACCATATAGCAGCACTGAGTTGACTGGATTGGTGTTGAAAACCGGATCTTGTTGTTTGTGCTGAGTGCAGTAGATCTCCACACAAATTTCTGATTAATGACACATCGGCCAATTGGCTTCCCGAAGGCTTTCACCAACTGGCGTCATTTCACCTCTCCGATTCCAGCGATGAATAAGTTTAATTTTATGTTTTATATTTTCTTTGTGCTTTGAAGTTTGTTTAGCGGTTAGATTGGTTTTACGGGGTAGGGTTGCTAGCCCTATGCCCAACCTTCCCTCTTCACCCTGGCTTATGACCGGTTAGTAACTAGTGGACTAGTTACCTAGGCGAGGTTGTTCTGATTATTAAGAGTTAATAAAATTTTAAATTTTGGCAATTTATTACCATTTATTAACCTTCTTTGAATTCACCGTTATGATGTATCACTGTATTATGACTATTCCTCTCCCTCCCAACTACTCACCGATATTCTAATTTGTAATCAGTTAACCAGATACCACCGAAATAAAATGGTATTTCTTGGCTTGGTTCAATGGTTGCTCCTGCTCTTTCTAAATTCATGAAAGGAATTCGTGCATGAAGCAGCAGCCGTTGATGTTCTGCGTGATCGGCTGGAAGGCGAGAAAGTTGACGGCGTACTTAGACGGAAAAGTAGCTAATCGTGAACTTCAACATAACAGAAACTTCCATCTAGATAACACCTAAATAAATATTCACCTTGCTGTCGAACAGTGGTATAAAAAGTAGTTGACGTACACCAAATGGTTAACAGAAGACAATGGATTGCCGCACTCTCACTCCATCCGAAAATGCGAAGAGACTCATTCCACCTGGCGCTGATCACAATGAGGACCCAAAGAAACTCAAATGTATTATGACTAGGAGTCTTCGCGATTATTTTGAGCAGTGGTGGATGCCTAGAGCAAAAGAGATGGAGAAGTCATCAACATTCAGTAATGCTGATCAACAATTTAGGCTGGTTAACGAAATTGTCAAGGGAAGACAACGGTTGATGGGATCACTATTCAATAGAGATGGTACGCTGACAACCTCTCAAAATAGGTGATTAGAACGTTCAGCTGGACATTACTAAGCTCATTTCAATTGGCCCACAGCAACAGCGTTCCAGATGGCCAACATCCAGCCTGAACATGAATGGCACGGAGATTTCGGTCATTCAAACGTCTTCAAACTTGAGAATAGTGTTTTGAACGTGGAAGATGCGAAGCAGCGAAATCTGAGGGTTTACCAGCAGAAGTAGAGTACCAGAGGTACTAGGCAGTGTATGGGAATCTGAGGTAGTCTCGTCAGGCTAACATTCACCACTGATCATTCCAGTTTGTGGTCAAGTGAAGAAGCCCTCTTGCAACAAAAATAGGGGAATCAGTTTGATTGCTCAACACTGTGTACAAGATCCTAGGGTGCATAGTCATTCGACGTCTAACAGGAACATTAGAACAAGGAACACAGGAAAATGAGGCACATTTCACACCTGAGCTAGGGTACATCGACTAGATCTTCACTCTTCATCAGTTTATGGAACACATGCAGACTTAGCAGCGGCCAACACTTGCTACATTTCTTGACCTGAAGGTGGTATTCGACTTTGTTGACCTACTTTTTGTGACAATATCTGATTGTGAAGAGAGTACAGGTCAAGAGTACAATCTCAATCAGGGCTGTCTACTCAAACTCATACAGCCGTGTAAGGGTTTATGGAGAGTTGCCATCTGAAGGCAAGACAACTCGTGGTGGTCACTGGGATGAGTGGTGTTACCGTTTCCATTTATTCTAGTTATAAATGTATAAGAGGTTATAACATAAGGCACTTATGGCTTCACAGGGTACGAGGTATTACGTTGAGGGCGTCCACTTGACATTTAGTTCGCACATGATATTTTCCTGTTAGGCGAAAATGTCAATAAAATGCCGACTATTCGGAAAACTTTTGGCAGAAATCTGAGTATCTGTTGGTATGAGTTTCGCACGTGTCAAATGCAAGATGATGCTTCAGGACTACTGGTTTGCACCTACTCCTAGCTTATTGATAGAGAGTGAAGTGGTGGAATGTGTCGACCAGTTCACCTACTCCAGGAGTTGCCGCAGATCTAATTGTTTGGTAGCTGACGCAGTTTCAGCTGGTATGGAAAAGACGTGATTCATGTTTCGTAACCTGGATTAGGACTAGTGAGATATCCGACTCCCTATTAAAAGGAGAGAACCATACTGCTGTATTGTCGTTTCTTTATGGTACCACCTGCTTGTGGTGGAATCAGCGTTTGTTGTTTAGAATACGAGTTGAGTAGCAAGGTTTAAAGCCAAACCAGTCAGTGAGGTTGTGAAACGTGACCGAATTTGGTGGCCTGTATGCGTGTTTTACGTCTTGACTCCACATATGATAGTCAAATTAAGATTTCATTTGTAGGAAGTTTAATGGTGGTCTAGACAAGGTGTGTCATCAGCTCATGAAGTCTCTCACTGTAGCTTTTACGTACGTAAGGAAGTGCAAACTGAGCCCAGTGCCCATCGCTTCCGACGCTAAAGCATAATTCACTTGGCCACTGAAGCACGATAGCCACCGCTTGCACTACTGAGATCAACTATTTTTATTGCCATTATTATTATTATTATTATTATTATTATTATTATTATTATTTGATGCTTTCAATTCTCTGTTTTGGTCGACCTGTTTAAATGTATAGACTCCTATATGGATGCCTCGATAATGCCTAAATATTTATTGTTATAATTGACTTGGTTATGGCTAGCAGTGGAATCCAGGAAACGCGTTTCATCTTATTTGAGACTTGTCTGCTGTATGTACCTGCAGTACTAGCCACAACCAAGTCAACTATTATTATTATTATTGTTGTTGTTATTATTATTATTATTATTATTATTATTATTATTATTATTATTATTATTATTATTATTATTATTATTTGTCCCTTGGGTTCCTAATGGCTGCCTTGAAGATTTCCTTTGTAGTTTCATCCTCCAGTTTCCAAGTGTTGAACTCGAACCGTGGTCTATCACCAGCTTCCTTGAAGGCTTTCAACTTGATTTGGAAGGTTCCTTGCACTAGATAGTGGTCTGAACGTACATTTGCTCCTCTTCTTGACCTTGTATCAAGTAGGCTGTCTCCACTTTCTTCACATTGAGATAAAGTCCATCTGATTTTTAGTGTTTCCTGGTGTCTGGTGAAATCCATGTCAGTTTGTGTATATCCTTGTGCTTGAACACACTGCCTCCAATTACCATATCGTTGAATGCACAGAATTCTGCAAACGATTCTCCATTCTCGTTCATCACCTCACCGAGCGCTTCTCAGCCCATGGTTTGTTGTCTTCCTGTGTTTTCCACTCCCAGTTTGGAATTCATGTTGCACATTAGAATTTTGATATCGCCAACTGAGGTCTTGTCCAGTGTTGATTGAAGTTGTCTGTAGAATTCCTCCTCCTTCTCTTGCTCTGCATTATTTGTAGGTGCTTAGTATTGTATGATTGTGACCTTCCTTCCTTCCTCTTGAGTTGAACCTTGCTGTCATGATCCTGGAAGAGATTGGTTCCCACTGCATGAGAGTGAGCCTTCGATGCTCTTCAAGGGGACATCATGATGGCCACTCCCTCAGTGTGTTCGTGGTTGTCGTCTGGGTGACAATATCGGAGTAGATTACTGATTCTCCAGTTGACAGTTTGGAGAGTCCACTTCCATTCCACCTGCTTTCGCAAATTCCAAGCACTTCAATGTGATACCTTCTCATCTCGTTTGCAATCTGGGCTGCCTTGCTCGGTTCAAACATGGTGCGGACATTCCACGTCCCCACGTTTACTTTCGCTTTCATCTAGAGAAGAGAAGATACATTGGCCAATTGGCTTCCTGAAGGTTTTCACCAACCGGTGTCATTTCGCCTCTCCGATTCCAGGGAGGAATAATTTTGTTTTTATTTTTTAGATTTTGTTTGTGCTTTGAAGTTTGTTTGGCGGTTAGATTTGTTTTACGGGTAGGGTTGCTAGCCCTATGCCCAACCGTCCCTCTTTGCCGGCTAGTACCTAGTGAACTAGTTAACCAGGCGAGGTTAAGTCAACTATAACAACAGGTATTCAGGCGATATCGAGGCAGCGGCACAGGAACCCATATGCTAACATAGTTTGATGAATGTGATCCAATGTAATAACGGAGAATTACATTGTATGATTACGAGATTTATCAGAATTTTCATAGTTTCGTGACACACTATTTTTCAGGTTTTCTTTTATATTTTGTATAGGCTTTTTGGACAGATTATCGTACAAAAATTTTCATATATTTTTCGCTGCTGCTGTACTTATGATGCAAAGAGACAACATAATGAATAGAAAATATGATGCCAACAGTATATTGAAGGTTAGCTTGTATATTATAAAGTCGTTATATTTTGCAATACTAAGAAATGCGCTCCACAAAATCATATTAAAATGTTTTGAACACTTGAAGGAAAAAAATTTATGAGAAATATCTATGAAGGAGAAGCAGATGAGTAAAAGACAATCGAAATTAAGTGAGACTAAAATACTACAACATTATCTCCACGGCTTTGAAATCTGAACTCCTACTTTAAAAGTTTACAGTCATTAAAATGCCTGATCCTTTCAACCCAGTACAGGAAATCATGACGCCTTAGCGAATGGTAACTCGATACAACTATCGCTCCTCCAACAGCACCATTTCATAAACTTATAATCACCTCGCTTATTATTCTTGGTGTCGAAGAGGATCGGACCGTCGGGATATAGCACGTGTTACTGATCATGCATCTCAAGGTCTTAAAACGTTCTAAATAATGATCTGTATGCCGAAACATACATCGCTTGACCGTTGAGATTTTCATATATTGCTGTTCTAAGATGTCAGCGGCAACTAAGAAACTGCGATAATTGAGTTTGAATCACAGGAATAAATCCTGATAACTTTAACATAAGAATTTTAAATTCATAGTTGCACAGTCAGGCTAACGTTGTGACCCGAATTAGTGTATGCTGTTCTGAATTTCTCTATTTTGAAATTGACCTCGTCTACCGGGCATCAATAGCATACAAATAAGACAGTTGAATTAGTGTTATCAAGGAAGGAAGATTATATCTATGGCTAAGCGATTAGATAATCATAAAGAAATATAGCTGGACGGAAATGATAAATGATTTTGCGGGGTGGAAAAACTCGAGGATTTTCTTTTATATCTAATACATTACCAGCGAAATGAAGGATTGCCAATTACTTCTATTTGTACACAAAATTTGGGTAGGGTTTATCAAACAATGATCTCACCAGTTAGCTGTAGCCGGGAGTTTTCATTGATTGATTCAAACCCCCCAAAAGCTTGACTTCATTTACCACCTGTCCGTTTATCTGAGGTATTTGCTGTCTCAGAAAAGTGCAACCGGCAAGCACAGGTTGAATCCACGTCTTCAGTATAGGCTGCTGCTTGATACAGTAACATTTTTGTTATAGCGATACTTTCTTTGTGCGCTAAAACAAGTGCATTTGGTGAACTGGTCGCTTGGGTTGTACTCTATTATTATCAAGCATTTGAAGATACATCCCACAGAATATCGTTCCAATGTAGCAAATGTGTTCATACTGGTTACCACTAAGGTGTCTGTACTGTAATGTTGCTCGCTTACCGACATCGTCGCTAAACGCATTCACTATGATTTGTGTTGTGAAACGAATATGTCAATCTCTTTACAAATATTACCAGTAATAAGGTTTCTTACATAGACGACGCAATAAATGAATAAATTTTGTTCAGCATAGCGAACTGACCTTATGATACATTTGGGGGATTGATCGACTTAAATGTTGTTTTCGTCATGGATTAACATCAACTGGATAATCATCAGGAACCTTGAAGAACTGGATAGTTGTTTTGGAGTGGCTTGAAAGGGCCACCCCGGCAACTACTGAATTGACCAATCAGACTTCGGTATCTCACCTGGAAAAGTGCTTTTTCATAAAATAAAGGGATGTAGTTAGCTGCCTCACCAGTTGCTAGGATGACCTTTAAAGTCACCCTTGTTTTGTCCTAATTTCGGACTCATCAGCAGTGAAAATCAAGCCCATGTATAGGATGGGGCCCAGAAATTGTACGTTTTGTGGAGTGGTCTTTATCATTTAGTTACTGCGTTGAAATCAAACGGTTCACATTTTACTACCCCTATCAATATTTGATATAACATGACTATCATCTAATGGTATTGACTAGTGTTCATTTCCACATCCCACTTCGTTGACCCTACAATTCACGACTTCTCACGAAAACTTTGGAAATCCAACCATGAAGCAAATGACTAATAAACCATGAATTATAATTCAACTAGAGGTTTCTTTTTAGAAGGAGGGTCAGTTGGTTGATTTAAAATTAGTGCTCATTATGAATCGTTGTCAACTGAAAAATCATTGAAAACTTAGTTGAGGTGGATAGTTGTTCCGTCCTCGCTTAACGCTGAAAAATTTTCGGTTTCATTTATTTCCACCATAAGAAACGGTTTGAACCCTGTCAATCAGTAATATTTATCAACTTTATTCATTTTTATATTGTTCGTATTAACTGTCAATGGCTTTACTGTGTAGTGTCCCATCTTTTGTCCATTCTAAGGGTTTGTTTAGCACAACCGACACAAATTAACAAGCTCAAAAAGTGATTCAATTGTATTATCCAAGGTCTACTTATAATCTTGTGTTCACTGTCTTGCTGGTTTCACCATTATCGCTGATCACATGTACATAACTTATATGAACCACTTTTATCGGCTGCATAGTACGCCTTTGAATGTACTTTTTCCTTTTATCTTATTTCATGTTGGGTATTACTTAAAAGCGATAATGAAGTTAATTTTTAGAAATGATCAAAATAATTTTTCCTATTCCACTAGTTCACTGAGTGTTTTGTCATGTTACCCTAATTCAATTTGTGTGAAATCATATTTTTTTTTCTCAGCTGGTAATACTTGATACGCTTGTTACCTGTAATGGCATATTGCCATATTTTATTCAATAATCAAATGTGACTTTAATCTACCATCTTTTCTATTCTGTATAATGCATCGGTTTCCTTAGTTTTCTGATTTCCTACTGTTTTAAAAGAATATTTTACTCGATTGTGATTAGCAGAGGAATCCAAGACACGCGTTTCGTCCTATTTGGGACTCGCCAACTCAACGTACCTGCACCCCAATGATGTTGTTCCCACTGAGACTCGGATCTCGTTCCCATCTTTTCAAATGCCAAGGCGTTATCCACTGAGGCACGACAGCCACCTCTTGTACAACGGGTGGGAACAACACTGGGGTGCAGGTACATCCAACTGACGAGTTCTAAATAGGATGAAACGCGCGTCATAGATTCCTCTGTTGACCACAACTAAATAAATTATCATAATAAATATCTAGGCAATATCGACGTATCCGCACCAAAACCCATATATTCGCAAGTAGAGGCCGAACAATTAGATCCAGTAAAACAAAGGAGAATCACAAGCATATCAACAAATAATATCTCACATACTTATAATAGTGTGTTTTAAAAGTTTTTCAGTATTGTATATTGTCGATCATTAAACAGTCTCTTCTTTTCCTCTTCACTATTATCAAATTTAGCATGTGAATGAATTATCCATGAAAATTCCATTAGAAGAATCTTTAAATCGTGCTACAGCTTTACTAAGTCAATTAGAACAGGTTTCTGATTCTTTACCGCAATCTGTACAGGATATTATCCATGGCCAGTCGTTAGCAATGTCTAGACATCTCATTGATTCAAAGCAGAAAGGAATCAGTTGTACAGATCAATCGTCTATCTATGATTATTCTCCAACACTTCTAAATGAAGAACTAGAAGTGCTAATGGATAATGATGTGTACGATCCTAATAAAAACGTAAGCAATCAATCGATATTAATGGTTCCATCTGACATCAATAGACAATTTTTCCAGTGACTCTAAGCCATTCTGTTGCTCATCAAAAGACACGTGCATTATTCATAATAACATCAGACCGAATTGGTTTGCAGTTCATTCTTTTAATAATGAAACCTATTCATCATTGTGTAATCTACTTCACATATTGAGGTCATTTGTACTGATACTGAATGTATACCAACAAGTTCCTTCCTACTCAAATATCACTTTTTATCATTTACTAGTGGGGACATGTTTATCACCATAAAGTCTAATTATTGCTGAATTGGTTATTTAATTTTGCTCCTTGTAACCAACATATTTTTACTTCTTGTATTACTGTGATTTTAATTACTTCCTTGAGGGCGTTTTTCATCATTTCTGTATCCAAAGGGTGATTCTTTGACCAATAATATTGTTTAATTACGCTATATGGGGACATTTTTACCCACTTATGAGCCGCTGTGTGTGCGTGAAATGTAAAAAGCTTAAAACTTCGAATGAAATGTTTAAAAATAAGCCACGTTTCATCTAAAGAAGCTTTTTTCTTGTGGAACGTGAAGTTTCTGTCTTTTAGGCATCAGTCAGCGGATACGTACAACCTAGTTTTGCTTACTCCCAATGACTGGCCTGTCATCTTTGAAATTAAAATATCTACTAACTTGTGTGGGTATTTTCACGAATGAAGTAACTTTGACAAAGTTTCTAAACCCCAAAAAATGCCATCTTGAACTTTACTAAGACTATAAAATACACTTTTACTTTGTGTAGTTACGGTTACTATGATATGGATGGTTAATATTTTACTTTACCTACAATAATCAGTAGTAGTATGATTGATCAGACAATGATTCTGCAGTGTGTTCGCTTTCACTAGTTCACTTAGTAAGGACAACTCTCTGATGAAACATGAAATAGCTCAGTAACTACTTGACCGGTAGTCCCTACATTGACGTAATGCTCTAGCTTTTATATTAACCCAACTACCTCAAACGATTGTTTCTTGAGGACCGACCATAATCGAAATGTTTATGTGCAGCAGAAATGTCCTGACCGCCCTCACACTTCCTTCACTACCTAGTTTCTTCCTGATCACCATAAACCTTCCGCGTAGTCGCCTTCCAATCTCTCTGTTTTTAATTTGGCGTCGTCATCGATTCCTTCTACCTCTGCGCAGACCTCGATAGAGTTCAGGAAACCGAATCTTTGGTCTCCTGGAATCGTGCTTCAAAATGTATGTCACAGCTTTCACTTGCCACAACTCGGACATCTTGGGTCATAAACGTGTACTTGGTTTGTGAAGCGCTCATATAAGACTTAGATATGGTCATTCACTTCGCCTTATTTGGCGAATATGGTGAGTCAGAAAGCATCAGCTTTCGATTTTGTGGAAATGTGAAGGTTAGTGTTCACGGTGTCGCAGGTGTAGATTGGGCTTTAATTTCTCTTGTGCAAAAAATGCACTGCTCTACTTGATCCTAGCCAACAGTCATCTGTGTGCTGTTCGTATGAATGGTACAATAGAGACTTAAATGGACAGCAATACTCACTGTTGTCGCTTTGTAATGTTTGTCCAGGCGCCCACTGATTATCATCTGGATGCAGTAAGATATGAATTCAACCGTGAACTATCTGGCCTGTCACTGAAATCCAATGGTTAAGCTGTGGTCAACTAAGCAAGGGATTTCGATGCCTAAGTAGGATGGTTAAGCTTAACGTCAGGGTACATGGATAGTAAATCTAGAATCCTAACTGAGGCAACGGATGATAGGAATCATATAAGGAATTGGTTGTCGTGGCAGGCTATTTTAGTGCATGGGTGAGTAGGCTAAACCGAATAGAAAAGTACTCGGTTGACACCTTCGGAATCCTATTCTAGTGAGCAGATATTGGTGTTCACATGCTGCTACTGAGTTCAAGTACCCACCTGTTTCTGCCATTCACATACTTTAGAGATAAAGACAGATATTGTATAGTGTCTCATGTCTTCAACTCATTAATGGACACTAGTACATCATATTGCTACCAGTTATCGCTGGATAGGTTCAGTTGAAGATTCCCGCTCCTTTTACAGCCCTTGTTTGGACAGCAACCTTGAGTTGATTCGAACACTTGTATTTCTGCGCCTAAATGCACGTGGAAAAACTAAAGCAACAAGACCATTTCGAGTGCGGCTCGTCAATGAGCGTATTAGAAGTGCTTCCAGTGTGAAACTGGTCAGACAGTTATGGAAACAGAATAACATCACTCATGCAGAAGAAGCCCATCATCATCTACAGCCTGTTGTAAAAACAGCGTTAAA